CAGAGGCGGGCTGCTTGGGGCGGAAGCGAGTTAGGTGAAGATTTGTTTCGGTGTTTTAAAAATACGCAGAAACATGTTTTTTTTTTTTTTTCTGTTTTAAGTATTTTAAAAATAAATGTGCTCCAAAAAATACAAAATATAAATAAAACGAAAAATTGATAAGCAAACATTATTTTCATGTTTGTTTCTTTTTTTTTATAAAAAATAAAAAATAAAAAATAAAAATTGATCCCAAATATTATATTACTTCTCTTAGTGAGAGGATCTTGTTTTGATTGCAAGAAACCTATGACTCAAATTGCACATGACATTTATCTTACCTTATTTATTGGCTTGAGCTAGCAAAATTTTTATTGATCCTTCAAATGATGTCTTGTAGATGATCACACATTTTCTCAATAATGGTGGTCTTTATCACTAGTTGGCCCGATTAATTTCTGCAGTGAGAATGATAAATCAAATCAAAATTATTTTTTTTTTTTATTTTTTATAACTATTAATTAATCATCTACATATAATTGAAAGGCACTACATAAAAAAAAAATTTAATTATATATAATTATAAATGTACATTTTTAATTGTTGATATCGCATTCTTTAAATAGTTTCTCATGTATTTATCATCTTCTAGTAAAAAGCTTAAACTTGAAAATATAAAATCAAATCATGGTGAGTTATCAACCAATGAATACTCATATTTATAAACTATAGTAACATAACGAATAAAGAAGCAAGTTGTGTGCTAGCTTGTCGTAGAAAAATTTGTATAAGGTAAATAATAGTTTACTAATCAACTATATTTATTCAATTTCTTACTATATATATATATATATATAACTTATAACTTATGGAGGAAAATATTTTGTTTATATATTATGACTTGAGTATTGTCTAAGTTAAACTAATCAAAGTACTCCCATATTGATATGCCATCAATAAATTTTCAACATTCAGTACAGATCTCGATGCATGTCACAAATCTCAAGGTAATTTTTTGAGCAATAAATGTTTAAACTTTGATTAAATTTTATCTAGAACTTTGATTTTAGTAAACTTATATTTAAATTGATCAACTCGATGGGATGGACCTAAAGTTTAAACTTATATTTAAATTCACCTAAAGTTTAAACTTTGATTAAATTGATCAACTCGATTAGTTTTTATGATGATGTCATTTATGTAGCATTCAATCTCATAATGAATGATATAATTAAATATTTGGGTCATGGTGGGTTGACAGGTGGCTACAACATTTAACTTGATAAATATAATTTTGTAACAATATAATTTATGGAGTTCAAATGTGGAATACCATTGCTTATGGGGGTTATCAAGAGTTAATTGTAATTGAGAAACCATTCATTAAGGAAAATATTATATCAACGATTAATTTAAGAGTAGGCAAATGAAACTTGTTCTTTAATATGCCTTAATCAAGTCCCTAGAGTCACTATCATTTTTTCATATAGACAAGAAGTAAATTAGCATATCAAATGTGATAGAACTCAAAATAAGCTAAACATTGATGAACTCTTTGGTATCTTCAATGAACAAATTTTTTAATGTCAAGGTGTATCCTTTAGGTGCTTGCTTGAATAGTGGAATATTTGGATTAATTGATAGCTCATGGGAAACTATTTTAGAAGCTAAGCCAGATATCTAAGAATAACTCTAAACGAAGTAATCATCGTAAAAGGTTTCGAATATGTATCAAACTAAATATTTAGAAAACAATTTATTAATGAAGTTAGGATGAGGATCATCTTTTATATATTGATTTATCTCAATTAATACATTAAAAGACTTCAAAGTCTGTAGGACCTGATGATATCCCAATTGAGGTGTAGAATTATTTAGGAGATTTGGGAGTTTCTTGGCTTACTAAACTCTTTAATATTATTGTAAAAACTAAAAGGATGTTTGAGGAGTGGAGGAAGAGTATTTTGGTCCCCATTTTTAAGAATAAAGGGGATGAACAAGAGTGTGCAAATTATAGAGAAATTAAGTTAATGTGTCATACTTTAAAGTTTTTGGGAGAGGGTAATTGACATAGGTTAAGACGCATCACAAAGATTTCTCATAATCAATTTGGATTTATGTCGGGCAGGTCTACTATGGAAGTTATACATTTATTAAGAGGTTTGATTGAGAAGTTCAGAGATAATAAGGAGAATCTATATTTGATTTTTATTGATTTAGAAAAACATACGATAAGGTTCCAAGAGATATCCTTTGGAGAGTTCTTGAGAAGAAAGGTG